GCCCTGTGGGGGGTGCTCTGGGAGTATGGGGTCCGGGGCCCTTTGCTAAGGGCCGTCCGGTCCCTGTACGACCGGAGCAGGAGCTTGGTTCGCTTTGTCGGCAGTAAGTCACACTTGCTTCCAGTGCATGTTGGACTCCAGCAGGGCTGCCCTTTGTCACCGGTTCTGTTCATTATTTTATGGACAGAATTTCTAGGTGCAGCCTGGGGCCAGAGGGAGTCTGGTTTGGGGACCACAGGATCTCGTCTCTGCTTTTTGCAGACGACGGTAATTGTATTGAGAATCAGCACCTCCAAATCCGAGGCCATGGTTCTCAGTTGGAAAAGGGTGGCTTGTTCCCTTCAGGTTGGTGGAGAGTTCCTGCCTCAAGTGGAGGAGTTCAAGTATCTTGGGGTCTTGTTCACGAGTGAGGGAAGGATGTCATGTCAAAGTAAAACCTTGTTAGTTTTGATAACTTGAGGATGAGGGCACGTCTTCAGCTTAACTTTGTTTGTCCTTGCTCATTTTAAAGATAAATGAAGAACACATTAACATTTACTGTGCAGTTTAACTTTAAAATGCAAATGCAACAGAGTTTATCCACTGTAGCCAATTCATGTTAAAACTACAGACATCTGGATGTTGCCGGGGCAATGTGCTGTCTGCAGACCAGGAGTTTGATTCCAGGTCCTGTAAAGAGCATCTGGATGTGTACACCTTAGACCCAATAAACAATGAGATTGTGTGACTGTGAAGTCAGCTTACTTTTCCTCTCCAGTCAGCTGTTTCTCCAGGTCCCTCCGAGGCGTCTGACCTCCCAAGCTACAGATGGAGAGACACACTCTGGTTTATATCATGATGCAGTAACAGTGACGGAGTGAACAGCGGCCAGGGTGGGAAACAGTTCACAAACCAGAACAGTTTGTCCTGATGAGCTGACAATTCAGCAGCAGCCCCAATTTGCTGCTCTCCAACACACTGAAACTAGTTTCTGAGAGACATTTCCCACTCTGAGCTGAAGCACCACCAGCAGAGCCTCCATGCTATTATTAGCATTCTCCACCTCACAGCAGTTAGTCAGCCAGTACTAAAACGGTCCTCTGTGTTTCCACTAGGGGAACATACCAACCCATAACCTGAACCTTTTAGAACTTTTACCTGGCCAGTTCTGCTTTGCTTCTCTACTACATTTTAAAAGTACATCATTCAAGTGAGCGCATGTTATTAACCAGAATTACTGCTTCACGGTCGTCTGCCTCCGCCAGCCAGCCAAACTCACGGGAATGGGACATGAGGACACAGTGACCTTTGACCACCAAAATCACAGGGTCACAGACAAACTGTGTCACTGTACAGAAGGCGTATGGTTGTTGTGCTAATGCACCTGAAAACATCCCAGTTACAGCTAGGGCTGCACGATAAACCGAACAAGTTCCAGACAAGACAAACATATAGGTGGTCATCCAATTAGGGATGCACTGATAACACTTGTTTTCAGACCACAGTTTAGGGGTGCATCCCATCACAGTCAGCAGTTTAATGTGTCAGTTGAAAAGGTGCAGCTCTGACTTTAAACCAGCTGCTGCCTGTGGGTCCTGCTCTTCTGCAGAGGAGCTGCTGGTCTCAGCCTCCACGTCCACAGGGAATCGACTCACTGTCATACACACAGCTCATGAGACTCCACCGTTAACCAGGTCAATTTTGTGTTTGTTTTCTCCTCAGTCACAACAGTGAGCAGAACAAGCAGCATGTGGGTTTAGTGGGTCATCAGGGACCGGATGAGTCGACTGGGGGGCAGTGAAGTGTGCAAGTGTGTGTTCTGCTTGTTCAACAGGTGTTTAACTGCTCATACTCTCCATTACTGCTGGACTTTGTCTCTAATCTGCTCTGGGTGAGTGTCTGTGAACACACCTCATTTCCTCGTTACCTTTGTTGTCATCACTTGTAATAAAACATCCTCAACCACTGAAATATCTTCTCCTCTGCCTAACGACCTGCTCAGCTAGTGGAACGTTAAGGAAATGTTGCCGTTAAGTAGTATCAGCGTGTGGTACCAGGTACTAGAGGGTAGCATCAGCGTGTGGTACCGGGTACTAGAGGGTAGCATCAGAGTGTGGTACCGGGTACTAGAGGGTAGCATCAGCGTGTGGTACCGGGTACTAGAGGGTGGCATCAGCGTGTGGTACCGGGTACTAGAGGGTAGCATCAGCGTGTGGTACCGGGTACTAGAGGGTAGCATCAGTGCAGCCCTTGGTACAATCCTTGTCTCTATATCTGTGCTGTTCCTTTCAAACGGTCAGTCTAGAGGCCTGCAGTGCAACCATGCAATTTTAAGACTGAACCTGATGGGTGGAGAGAAGACGTCGGGTTCCTCCGCCCTCTCCACCTTCTGAGGTTGACTGGGGGAGGGGGGCGAAGTGAGGATGCACAGGAAAGATGGAGGCGTATGAAAGAAGGAAACAACCAAAAATATAAAACCAAAGGATTGGAAAAAAAAAAAAAAAAAAAACAGGCTGGAAGTAAGAACAACACGATAACGAGGAGAGAATGAAAAGTGAAACCAAGCAGTGAAGGCAACACAAAGAGACAAATTATGTGCCAGTGGGGAAAAAACTGAGCTGGGAGATAGGACATCAACGGTACTACGACCCAAGGAAGAGCAGCTGTGTCACAGTACCGGTGTCACTACATCAAACACCCCGTCAGTAAGTGATCTTAGCACCTCAGCCGTCGTTTCTGAGGCATCTGCTGGTCCAGGTCCCTCTGCTGTCGCTCCTCTCTCGTCATTCCCTTATAGTTGGACGTCAACCCGAAGATCGGCCGCGACCACTCATCTGCACACAAGATGGAGATCAGTACTCGTCAGCCAGTGATTTTCAGTCTGGGCCTCTGCTAATTACTGACACTAACATCTCAGGATGTGGTTGTGACTGTGTGCTGCAGGAGACTTTAAGCAAAGAATTCACCTTAACTGTTCAACAATGCTGCGAACTAACCCTCTGCCACTTTCGGTTTTAAACACTGACAGGATACGTTTTTATTCTTTTTACAATGTTCATGTCTATTTCCTTTTGTCCTTGGTCACCTGCTACCAGCTTCTCTTACTGGGTACAGTTTACTGTAAAATAAAGTATGTGTGTACACACATAGTGGGTTGGTATCGGGGCCAAAAAAAAGGACTGAGACATGCTTAGTGTGTGCCTATAAAACACTTAATAATTCATTATTTGGTTCAAGACCCCACTCCAAACCCATTTGTGAGGTTTCACATTTTAACACTAAACTCAACAAGATTAATAAACAAAGCAATAATAAAAATGTTTAATTTTTATGATGCTATCTGTGACATGGGACAAGGTTTTTTTCATCAGTACTTTTAGACAACAGTGTTTTGAGCCAGAGGTCCTTACTGATGAGCTTGAGCGCTAGGTCTTTGTTGGTCCGAGACTCTTTGGGATGTTTGTACAGAAACATGACGGCCCGGCCGATGCCGCTGTGCTTCAGAGTCTCCTGACTCACGCTGGGCAGCTGCAGGATGAAACGCTCAGTGAAAACTCAAACCCAAACCCTGGACCCGCAGGTTTACAAAGTGTGCTCACGCACATATCTGGACTCACCTCCTGTAGGATCCTGAGCAGCTCCTCTCTGATTCTGAGAGCAGGCAGCGATTTGTCTGGGAGAGGACTGATCCACTCCTTAATGGCGGACATCACCCCACTGTCAATAAACGTCTCCTTCAAGTCCTGCCTGAGGGACAAACACCCCCACGGGACCTCAAAGTTAGACTAAAATATTACTGGGTTTCAGTTCTGGACAGCCGTTACTCTGAACGTCATGTTATTAGCATTTAGAAGTGGTACATAAACACTCAGTGCATGTTAGCACTCAGTAACCAGAGCTCTTACTTCTTCAGGTGCATGACGACCTGTGGCAGCAGAGTGAGTTTTTTCAGTGCCGGCTTCTTCTGACTGTTCAGAGTTCGATCCTCCTGTAAAAAACAACATGTCAGTCAAGATTACACAGTAGCACTAAAACCCTTCTGAGGCTTTTATTTTGACAGGCGGACCTCTGCGGCCTCGTTCATCTTGGTGATCATGGCGCTGACCACATCGTCGGCGTCGCTGATGAATGTCCCTCCATCACGGTGCCGCCTCTTCCTACTGTTCATGGCTTTCCTCCGAGCGAGCATGATGTCGAAGTCAGACATGAAGCTGGTACTTAACACAAACACAGAAACACTCACAAGCTGTTCTGCAACAGCTTTTAAAGCAGAAACCAAGCAAAACTAATCACTTGTAATTTTCTAAGGGTGGGATTTAGGAAAATGTCTGACGCTCGGCATAAACGTCTGAATCCTACTGGACGTCATCAGCAGCTTTCTGGCTGTTCTAATGTTAGATAGGTAGGTAGGTACTTTATTGATCCCTCAATGGGGAAATTTCAGATGCAATTGTTCTGAAATGTCCGTGATGTAAACACACTGGTGTCGACTTCACAGCACCAAACACATAAAGATGTGAGGGTTTAAATCCAGTCAGAACATCATGACAGGATTCACTCACCTGGGACAAAACTCTCTCTTCACTTCTACTGGTAATTTCCATGATTTTATCTTTTACTTACCCAGATTTCTCTGGTTTTTGTAATATTTACAGGGAACTTCCAAATATTTCAGGCTCTGAAAATGGCAGACTGTGTGTGTCCAGACCTGAGCACATTTCCTCCTGTCTAGTTAATCTGCCTCTGTGCATGCCAGTGTCTGCAGTCATGGGAGACCAGCAGCGTGGTGGACACTGTCCGCTGACTCTACACACCTTATCATCTTAACTGAACAACATTAAAACCTCCAGGATGCTCCAGGATCCAGTGCTGTGGAGCCAATGTTAACAGTAACGCAGTGCAGCTGAAACTGCAGCCTCCACAGGTGAATCAACACCTCTGGAGGAGGTGTTACGGCAGCACTGTTGGATTAGACTGACGCATTTTGACACGTATGTACCACTAATGGAACATCTGACTAAGTGAAACTGGTCAGTTTATAAAAAGCTTGACATGTTTAAAGAGCAGTAAACAAAGACAGCACTCGAGGAGGACGTCAACAACAAGCGGGTCACTGATTTAAATCTCAAGACTAAATGTCTGCATCAGTTTACTCTAGGCCGCTGCGGTCGACTTCATCAGAGTCAGACTCCTCTTCCTGCTGCTGCTGCTGCTTCTCCGACTCCTTCTTCTCCCCCTCCAGGTCCTCCTGGTTGAAGCCCTGCAGGAGGAGAACACTCACTTTAACTACTTTCATGAAGTCTACGCTGTGTTCTGCGTTTAAAGAAATCCTAATTCGGGTGTTTTAGACTAACCTTCATGTCCATAAATTAAAGAGAACATGGTAACATCAGTCATGTACCATCTGTCACTGCCTCACTACCCAACACAGCATTTGTGTTTCTGGCCACATCCAATCTGTTTCCATCGCTATGTCAATGTGCCGGTTTTCTACCTGCATCACACTTCAACACTTTACACCACAACATCCTTATTTACTTATGGCGCTTCCAATATTTTGTGTGCAAATTAAAAATTATACAGTGGCTTCAGAAAGTCTTCAGACCCCTTCCCTGTTTCCATCAAACACTCACCACTTCACTACTACACGTTTGTGAAGGAAGGATTTCACCGTTTGATTTTTAATCCTTCTGCCAAAATGTCTACAGAAACACTTTGTCACCGAGTGTAGACTGACAGGCAAACATGAAAAATGTCTGATCAGTTTAAAGTTAAATATGAACATGCACAGTAAAGTGTGCACAAAGTGAAGGGGTCTGGATACTTTGTGAAGATGTGTCCTGTTTTCTGGTACATCTACATTTAGGTTGGCTTGTTTAAATGTTCCTCAAGTCACAAAACAGAAAGAAACAACTTAACTGAGGCTTATGCTGCTGACATACTCCCCTTTTACCAACATGTACACATAAACAATGTCTATAACAGCAGCGTCCCTGTTTGCATGCTTGTGTACTTTGCCTTTATCTGGAGGATTCAAACTATGTCCACTAGGGGGCAGACTGAGGTCTGATCATCCTGGGTAGAAAACTGAACATCTTCCCTTCCACTCACCGTGAACTCCTCCTCCTCCTCGTCTCCAGACTCTCCAAAGATGTCAGCGATCATTTTCCTTCAAGAAACACAAGGTCAAAGGTCACCGTTCAGACTCTGAACGTTTGTTTCTTAGAGCAACTGACAGGGTCGGTTTTCTTCGTCCACTGACTAATAAATGGACAGTTTAAAGGGAATGAATGATGTTTGTTTGCCATCAGGGATGAATAAAGTATTTTTATTGCCCTGAAAGCAGTTTGTTTGTTTCTTTAAAACCATTACAGGACCTTGTGACTGTTTGCATTAATGCATTTATTTACCTGTCCGTTATTTTCCTGATTATTCAAAATGTCAAAAAATGACTTTGATGATTCAACAATAATTACACTAGCTGCAGATTACCTTCCTGTTGATCGACTGCTCTGTTAATTCACTAAAAAATTTTAGTTCTACTTGTGACCTGTTGGTCTTTTGTGTTTTAATGTCTTCGGGCTGCTAGTTTCTTTCCTTATTAATCTGCTGCTGACTTTCTAGACTGACTGGATTTAATGGTTTGGTCTACACACCGTTAAGAGATTAATAACTCAATATCTGTCAAAAGAGTTCCACATTTTATTTTCCCCTATTTGTGCTTAAATATTGGTTAAACTATTAATTCATTCATTAGTTTTCTGTCAGTTACTCAATTACCTGCCTAATGTTTCAGCTGTAGGGAGGAATTTGCAAACACTAACAACTTTGGGCTTAAATGAACTGGAATCTGGTTTTCTGGTTATGAAAGTGAAGGTTAGGGATAACGAACATCCATGGTGTTGGGTTCTAATGGCAGCACTACTGGTTAATCACCCAATGAGCAGTTTTCTCCTTTTATCTCTACCAAACCCGGTGTTCCAACACGATCACGGCTTGTTCCAGCTCCTTACTGATGCTCGATGACGTTCCCACTCAAGTTACGTAAATGTTCCTGCACCGGATGGAAATTTGACATGCCTGCTGGTTTTAGCCACGTTCCTCCATCAGATTTAATGTCTATTTTAACCCTCTGTGGGTCTGAGCCACAGTACGGGTCTACAGTGTTAGAGGAAGTATTTCGCTCTACAACTCAAGTGATACTAATACCACTAATACCACACAGTACAAATACAATACTGTAGAAACATGGCCCCTGTGACAGTTGAATGATAACACTACATCATTATTATTCTGCCACAGCAGGAACTGTAACTGATTACTACTACCCTCATGGATGAATCCCCTGACTGCACTGATTTGAATGAACAAAACCAACCAACTGTCTCAGTTCTACTTGTGCACAGCGTTACAGTCTCACCTTTAACAAAGCTCCGTATACATTTTCATCTGTAAAGTATAAAGCTGTCAGATAAATGTAGCGCAGTAGAAGTATAGAGTAGCATAAAATGTACATGTGCTTGAGTAAATGTACTTTCCACCTCTGTGCGTTGGTCCTGGCTGATCAGCGAGGTTCAGATTGAACTGGGACTGAGTAACTGAAGACAAACTGGTGAGTGAGGAGTGCAGTACTCACTCCTCCTCGTCGCCGTCTCCGGAGTCGCTGTCACTGCCGAACAGTGCCTTCTCATTCTTCTTCCTGGGCGTGGCCTTCGACCTGTCGTCCTCACTCTCGCTGTCCGAGCCGAGCTCCCTCAGTTTGGCCGCCAGACTCTTATCAGGACCCTCTGAGCCGCCATCGCTGTCTGAGTTCTCATCGTCCAACACTGCCCGACTCCTCTTCACTGCTGCAGGTCAAAGAAGAAACATCGAAGTGGCACAGCGGTACGATTACTGCTGCGGGCGTCACTGATCAGCAGCTACAGATGCTGCAGGTCAATGACACTCTGCTTTAACACAGTCCTTACTTCACACCCACTTATTCACTGAAGACAAAGGATGCAGATAAATGGCTGTCAGAAATCTTACCTGGTCTGTCTGCCTCCTCCTCCTCCTCGCTGTCTGACAGGATTGCCTTCTTCCTCTTCACTGCAAAAAGAAGTGAGATGTTGCTTTAAATATCTGAGTGACTCTATTGGTATGCCTGTCAACGGGCTGGTCTCAGGTCAGTACCTGGCTTCTCATCTTCATCGTTGTCGTCTCTCTGCTCTCCATCACTTCCTGCTGTGGCCTTCCTCGTTCCTCCCTCTTCCTCCTCACTGTCAGATTGCATCGCAGCCTTCCACTTCCCCCCCTCTCCTCCTCCCTCCTCCCCACCCTGCTGTTTCTCCTCCTCCTCCTCCTCAGAGTCTATCTGCACTGCCCTGGGTCTGGCAGGCGTCTCTGTGTCAGAGTCACTTTCGGCGTTGGACCGGCGGTCAGGGGATGCCACGGCTTTGGCATCCTCCTTCTCTGAATCGCTGTCTGGAGCTGTTTTAGGTCTGTCACCTCCCTCCTCCATGTCTGAGCCATTGCCCCTGTGGTTGGCAGGAGACAATGCCTCCCCTGCCTCCAAGTCTGAGTTGCTCCCCCTGCGCTTGAGGGGAGGTGATGCCTCCCCCTCCTCCACGTCAGAGATGCTGTCCCTGCGCTTGTGGGTAGGTGATGCCTCCCCCTCCTCCACGTCAGAGATGCTGCCCCTGCGCTTGGGGGGAGGTGATGCCTCCCCCTCCTCCATGTCAGAGATGCTGCCCCTGCGCTTGGGGGGAGGTGATGCCTCCCCCTCCTCCATGTCAGAGATGCTGCCCCTGCGCTTGGGAGGAGACGATGCCTCCCCCTCCTCCACATCTGAGTTGCTCCCCATGTGCTTGTGGGGAGGTGACACCTCCCCCTCCTCCACATCTGAGCTGCTCCCCCTGCGTTTGGGGAGAGACGATGGCTCCCCCTCCCCGTTGTCTGAGGTTCCATGTTTGACCGGAGACTCCTCCTCGTTGTCTGAGCCACTCATCCTGCGTTTGAGTGGAGACTCAACATCGCTCTCGGCAGGATGGGGAGCCTCTGCCTCAGAGTCGCTGTTGTCATCATCATCGTGGCCCCCAGAGGCCTCGCCCTCCGAGTCGCTGTCAGCCCCTCGGTGGCCCTCGTTGCCAGAGCTGCTGTCAACCTCTCGGCGGTCCTCAGTGTGGTGAGCGTCCTCATCGTTACTGCCGTCATCCTGATGAGAGAGACAGTGGATCAGTGACAGAAATACCAAGGGCCAGAAGTGTACAACAGCATACACATTGTTTCTGTCCACCTGGTTCCACCTGGTTCTGCTTTAGAAATCTCAGCTGTTGTGGAATTGGGCACACGTATACACGCTTCTTTTCCTCTCCCAAATTTAACCGTGGATAGATGAGTCTTTAATCACTCATTTGTTCCCTCTAGGTTAATTGGTCATGGAGAGCAGACCTGGGGGTGGGTGTTGAAAAATGGTGATATTTTTGCCTGGTTTTCACCACGGAGTCACCGTTTGGCCATCTGAGGCTTAGGCTTAGGTTTGTCCTCTCACTCAACCTGTCTCCTCTACATGCTGTGTGTGTGTGTGTGTGTGTGTGTGTGTGTGAAGCATGGAGAAGCCATGAAATACGGATGAACACAGGAAAATACTGAAAGCGAGACATGAGCAGTCGTCTGTCAGCAGGACAGCGGCCGGACAAAGCATCTTTACCAGCCCGGCCAACAACACAGGTGGACTGGACAAAAATAGTTTTCATGTAAGATCATCAGGACAAAATTGTGTCTTTATGTCACCTATGGATTAGAAGTTATTGATTTTCCCCAACTTGTTAAAACTCAAGCAGTCTGATCAGTGGCAGCAGGTTCCAGTAGAAAAACAAAAACAGGAAGCATAAAGAAAAATGCGTCTCACAGACTCAGTGGAATCACGGTTTTTCTGTGCACATATTGTTTACACATCTGGCCGAAGAGCCTGAAATGATCCAGCTGCTACAAGTCACACTTCGGACTAAAGAAAAAATAGAAACCCTTCACTTTTACTCACAAGCTGAAGAATTTCATCTACTATTAATCAAACATGGGTCAACTACGGTTTCTAAAGCAGGGTAGGAATGTTGGCGTTTTGTTTGACCCAGGAGTCACTCATTAACTCAGCTGTGCAGTCAAATCATTCTCATCTGGAAGGCGTTAAGCTCTTTTTACATGAATGTTCCTTATGGCTTCACATGGCAGAGAAAGCCACAATGCGTATGGGAGACTGGACGGTACAACAGGTGACATAGGTTAGGGCCAAGTTTCAGGAGAAGTTCTTTATCTGATGTCATTACTGTTTGGGGTGTTCAGTCATCAGATGAATCTGCAGCACCAATCTGAGCACAACCATGTGTGTAAGTGTGAGCAGGGACAGAGGCACACGCGTACAGCATGTGTGTGGACAACACAATCCCTCTATCCAACAACAAGCAAAGCAGTGAAGGTTCAATCTGACCTCAGACTGATGTCCGTCGCTCCTCATCTCTTCGCCGTCTGACACTGGGTGTTCATCCTGAACCGGAGTGCCGCCTCCATCATCTGCACAATATACGACAAGTCAGAAACACACTGCAGCATTTTTATGTCATTACAGTGGATTTGTTGGTGATTTCAGACAAACACCTGCAGAGAGCCAGGAGGTGGACAAATATAATAGAGTGTCAAGAAGTGAAGAGTGACTTTTTAGAAATGGCAATAACATCATGGGTTGTTAATCTGCTGGTTAACCAGCAGCACATCACATGTGACGACACACTGGCTTCAAGCAGTCAAAACAAACAAACAGGTACTGTGCTCCAGGGGAATCCAGCATTGATGAGCTGATCACTAACCACGGCAGGGGCTTCGCAGACCAGCAGGTAAAACAGCGAGGCCCTGTACAGGAACATCCACAGACATGCAGTAACCTCAGGCCCTGTATTTGTCTCCACATCCTCTGGTCACACTGCAGCAGCAGGACAGAAAATACATCCACAAAACCGGGCGCAGTGGAAAAACCCGGCTTTTACACTGGCACCAGTGGAACTCCTTTTTCTTATGTTTTAAATAAGCTTTATTGAAAATATACGTAACAATCAAGGCAGCATAAGATTTTGCCAGCACGGTGTTGACACTAGTGGATGTCGGGCAAGCTCACAGGAACGTGCAACAGCCTGGATTTATGCCCATTCAAGGAAATCCTTAAACTGTCACCCAATACTTAATTTTGTTAGAAAAAAGTCTCGCGAGTGATTTTCAGATGTGTATAAAGCAAGTTACTTCTGCAGAGAAATTGTCTTATTATATTCTTATATATTTTTATTATATTGCTGCATTTGCTGCTTAAAGTGCCAAAAGTTTAGGCACCCCTTGATAAATAACAAATTTTGGTGATGCATAGTTACTTCTTATGCCATAAATTGAACAAAAATAAAAACATTATTATGGCACGGTGCTAAAGTTTGGGCACCCTACACTATGCATCACTGTTTGCTGAAAATATTGTGCATTTTTTCCATTTCCAAGAGAGACTGTGTTAACATCTTTTCAAATAAAAAAAAAATCACCAAAATCTGTTATTTATCAAGGGGTGCCTAAACTTTTGCATGAGACTGTATCTACTTTATATTTCATTTGTATTTTGTGGCATTCATGTCACATCTAAGATGATGATTCACTGTTGTAGCATTGTAGACAAGTCAGAAAACAAGGAAAAGCATCACGGGCTCTTTAACTTTCATCAAAGTGGTTTTTGTTTGTTTGTAATCACAAGGACCACACTGGTTACTGTCATGCCTTGTTTTCTATACCAGGCTTGAGCTACCTTCACCAACAGACACTGGTGGAATCCCAGACAATCCTGCAGAAACCTGAATCTGGTTGATCGACAGCAGTTAACCTAGGGTTGAGATGTGGTTTTCCTCCTAGACTGACAAGATGTTTACCCGCATGGGTCATCAACAGGTATGTCTGCACTGTGGTGGTTTCAGTGGGTGATCCACTTAGAACAGAAAAAGACCTGAGGACCTTTAACAGTCTGTACACCAAGCTTCCTTCAAAATACATGTACTTGAATGTCACTTTCGGCTTTTTACCGTTTCGGGGTCGCCACAGCAAATCGACTCGCATGTTGACATTTGGCACGTGTTTTACGCCGGATGCCCTTCCTGACGCATCCTGGATTCGAACCCGGGGCGCCACAGCAAAAGCGCTGCGCCTAGCCTATGTATTTAACCTAGCCTATGTACTTAAAGGTTAATAAGAAAATAGTGCTCTAAAAGTGTTACACAGATCGTTCACTTTATACCCATAGTTTAGTGCACAAACACTCAGCCTCAGCTCTAACTGGTGCTAACCGGAGGAGACCAGAGACTGGTTCTCCGGGTGCTGACAGGAGGAGACCAGAGACTGGTTCTCCGGGTGTTGACAGGAGGAGACCAGAGACTGGTTCTCCGGGTGTTGACAGGAGGAGACCAGAGACTGGTTCTCCGGGTGCTGACCGGAGGAGACTAGAGACTGGTTCTCCGGGTGCTGACAGGAGGAGACCAGAGACTGGTTCTCCGGGTGCTGACAGGAGGAGACCAGAGACGGGTTCTCCACTGTACCAGAGTTAAACTCCTCGTGTGTTCAACATACGAGGACAATAAAGCCGATTCTGGTTTTGCCACAGGTATGAAACGCCATCATTACATCACATGACGCGTTAAAAACAAAACGATTTCAAGCTCTCTTAGACAAAGTCCATGCAAAACGGACATTTAAGAGTTGTGGATGAGTAGCACATGGTAGAAAATGCAATAAAATAAGAAACTATAACCAGATTACTGATTAGAGACCGATTTATTGTGTTGCACCAGTTGTTTTGCCAATAAAACAGAATTGAGCTTCAAATTAGCAGGATACTAAACGACAGGAGGCCTGTCTTATTCAACTCGGCCTTGAATCCCTGTTTACCGCCCAGTCTTGAAATAAACACTTAATTAAACATCTTTATCCATAATAACGAAAAGCCGTGAGGCTGCCTGCTCCACGTTCATGACGCTAAAGTGCGACATTTCCTGGTTGTTACTATCAATGCTGCTCACCCAGAAACCAAACTTCTCTTGTAATCCCCCTGCACTTAAGATGTTAAATAGCGTTTTGCGTTTTGTTATTAAACGAGGTTTAACTTAAAGACCCAGCGACGATGCGTAAAGACAATAGAAACGAAACAAAGCAGTACGACAGGTCTTACCCGAGCGGTTCCCGGACATAAACTCGTCATCCTCTCCGTCCATTCCTCAGACGGTTTCGGATTCCGATGTGAACACAGAAACAACTCTCTATTTACTCAACTTCTAACATTAAAACGGGAAAAATAAACCAGAACACGGTAAAGCTGCGTTGTTAAAGCTAAAAGCTACAGCTAGTTACAGCTACTCAGATCCAAAATGGTGCAACTGCCGTCATATGCGCATGCGGTCGCGTTGCAATGACGTAATGCAAAGTTTTTAATTCAACTTTATTATCAACACTAATACACAATTGACAGTAATAATATTGTGTCATCTGTTTTGCTTTTGTTATTTAATTTCATGGATGTTATCTTACTGTCTCCTGTTCGTCTTTATTTTGCACTATACTATCAACAAACGTTCGTGCGTCGAGTGACGTCTTTGACACGCGACACACCCCACGGGGAACCACGCGCATTTTCGGGACTAGGACACGGAGCCCTTGCAGTCCACTTTTAAATCAGGTTTTCGGTCCTTCTAAATTCGGGGTGATGGGGGACCGGAGTCGGCTGTGCTCTGTGTGGCTGGGCTCGGAGACCGGGATCCTGAAGGGGGTCAGTCTATCCCGGAAACAGGCCTTCAACTTCTGCAATTCAAGCCACCTGACCCGCGACCAGGAGGTCCGTGCGCTGTGCTGGGCTGACCCAGCGGAAAGCGAACTTCTGGTCGGCTCCGTGGACGGAACCGTGAAGACTTTCAGCATCGAGAAGGGCGCCTTTACCGAGACCCGGCGCTGCGGGGACTCCGCAGAGGGCTGCTTCACCGGTCTGGCTGCGCTCAATGGCTCCGCGCTAGTCACCTGCGTGGAGTGCGGGACGTTACGGGTTTGGAGAGGGGACAGCAGCGAGCCCGCGACCGAGTTGAATGCGGGGAAGAATGTATGCAGGATGCGGCAGAGCCCTGTACACACGCACAAAGTCGCCACCGGCGGAAAGGAGAACGGGCTGAAGATCTGGGACCTGGAAAGACCCGAGAACCCCGTGTTTACCGCAAAAAACCTGCGCGACGACTGGCTGGATCTACGACAGCCCCATTGGGTCAAAGACATGGCCTTCATCCCGAATTCTGACAAAGTGGTCACCTGCACAGGTTACCATCAGGTGGGTCTTCACCGCGCTGCTGTGAAAACCTGGTTATAGTAGAGGTTTGCTGGTCTGGTAGGAATAAAGGGTAGACTAAAGTTGATCTGCTAAGACAAAAGTCACACAGGCTCTGAACAGTTTTCATCCTGTCATGTAAGACATTTGAGATGTTTTCTACAATTCGATACTTACTGTGTTTAAGATATCACCTGTCCGGTCCGAGTGTGGGCTTGTTCTGGAGTCCTAACACCACTTCCTGAACTCTAACCTGTCTGTCTTCTGTCAGGTCCACGTCTTCGACCCGTCCTCCCCTCAGAGGCGGCCTGTCCTGAAGGCCGAGTACGGCGAGTACCCGCTTACTGCTCTGTCTCTGGCCGCCGCCGGTAACACGGTGGTGGTGGGAAACACCCACGGTCACGTCGCCCTGCTGGACCTGAGGAAAGGTCTGGTCCGCGGCTGTCTGAAGGGCCTGGCGGGGGGCGTGCGGGCTCTGCAGTGTCACTCTTCCCAGCCCGTGGTAGCATCCTGCGGCCTGGACCGCTTCCTCCGCATCCACAGTCTGGAGGACCGCAAGCTGCAGCACAAAGTCTACCTGAAGTCCAGACTCAACTGTCTCCTGCTATCCAGCCAGGGCCTGGAGGACGGAGGGGAGGACACTCAGGGGGAGGGGGCGACTCAGGAGGTGAAGGAGGAAGATGAAGTGTGGGACACCATGGAGCAGGTGGAGGAGGCAGTGGAGAGGGAGCCCAAGAGGAAAACGACAGAGGAGGAAGATCAGCAGAAGAAGAGCAAAAAGAAGAGGAAGAAAGGACAAGACTGAGGGACGTTTGAGGCGTGTTCAGAGTGTGGGACATGTGAACTCCATGGGTCACATCATCAGGCAGGAAGAGGAAAGTTAAGAGCTGTATCCCTTTGTTGATCTGAGACTAAACTGACCTCTACACATACATTTACAGACTTTTTAATACTCTGTCATCAGTTAGAGCTTTGTTAAAATAATTTGTCATTACTATAATTGTATTAGTTTTACAGCTTTCACTTTGATAAACCTGTATATTTGTATGTTACCGGTTTAATACACATCAAAACAAATGTAAATTAAATGTGATAGTGTTAAATGACTGGTTTGTTACATTTGTAGTCTAGAGAAACAAGATGAAATAAGGAAATTACTCTGAAATATTTACCTGGTCTTCCAAATAAAAATGGAAATCCAGGAACATTAGTTTACAATATATCCATTACAGGCTTTACAGTAGAGCTGGGGTCTGTGTTGTGATCACACCTAACTACAGCTGGAGCTGAAGACCACACTTCTTTGGAAACATCAAATCTGAGTCAGCTGGAGGGAAAACGGCAGATCTGGGAAACGTCCGCTGTGATGTGGACATAGCCTGATGGATTTCGTCTGTTTGGCGATTCAGGGTTGGATCTCCAGAGACCAGACAACAGACACTCAGCAACATCTACCAAGACATTTTATTTAGCAGCAGCACCACATTAGTAACAGCATGGAATGAAATGTTCGCTCAGTAAAGCCGGGATTCACATGTCAGAAACGTTTCCAGGACATGATTTTGAAATGATGCAGTGAAGTTTCCAGCAGGATCGAGGCTCTAAAATCTAGAATGTTTGAAATAGCCATCAGTGAAAACAACTACTTGACTTTATGTAACAGCAGCAGTGTGAGAGTTGCTGGTCCACTCGGTTTTAGACTCAGAGTTCAGACATTTTTAGATGTAAAATTCATCAATAAAGTTGTTGAAGTGTAACATAAGCCTTCTGCCAGCAGCTACAGATTAAATCCCCTGTGAACACGTTAGTGAGCACAGCAGATGGAGTAAAACATCAAGTAAGAGTCTATACAACAGTCAGCTCCACATACTGAAGGACAGGGTCAGGAGTCTGAATCTGGACTTGAAATCTTAGAGGAATCTCTGCCAGAAGGCACCGCAGACGCTTTGACAGGGCACGTCTTTAAACGACGGCAGCATCACGCATGTTGAGATCCCACAGGTGAGGCGGTGGCAGTGTCCGGTCAGAATAAAGACAGAAAAGCTCCGGTTGTTTCAGGGTTTGAAAAGTCAGAGATGGCAGTGTTACTCACCGCCTGATTTCTGTGAGAATAATGAAAATATAAGATGATACTTTTTCTGGAAATGATGTTTGAGCAGGGCGGCACAGCAGCACGCTGTCACCTCAAAGCAAGGAGGTTCCAGGTTCGAGCCCGGGTTCCTGTGTGGAGTCTGCATGTTCTCCCTGTGCCTGTGTGGGTTCTCTCCGGGTGCTCCGGCTTCCTCCCACAGTCCAAAGACATGTAGCTTAGGTTGACTGCAGACTAAATTGCCCGTAGGAGTGTGTGTCGTCGTTTGTCTACGTCAGCCCTGTGACAGACTGGCAACCTGTCCAGGGCGGACCCCGCCTCGCACTCAGTGTCAGCGTTGGCTCCATCCCCCCGTGACCCTGCTCAGGGCGGTGTAGATAATGGATGGATGATGTTGGAGCAGTGCCCCACTGGGAGTAATAAAGTCCTGTCAGTCTTTAAGTGGGGTTCAACTTATATTTAAGGATGAGACGATGCTTTCTCAACTCTCTTTTTAAAGGAAACTCAATGCGATGAAGTGGCTTTGTAACGAGCTTTACACTTTATAAGCAGCCTGCTGAAAGCAGAGAGGGAATTATTCAGACTTTGACCTGCAGATTCCCTGCTTACAGAAAACTTCTGTGATCCCAGCTTCTCAGACGGAGGTTTTCTAAGACAGTACTGGATACTTGACAAATTTACAGAGGTGACTCACAAAATGACAACTTGGAAACAATTATCTGCAGATTAATAACAATAAAGACCAACTGAGGTCACAGTTCCTCCTCCATCATCCTGAACACTGGTAACACTTGATCCTACCACAGTAACTGTACATGAATGAATCCTGTTTAGGAGAGGGACTTTCTGCCATCTTCTAAACCTTGTCTTCACTGTTCACCGTTTCTCCTCCCCCTCCTCCTCATCTTCCTCTCCTCCCCGGCTGAACTGTCGTCTGGTGAGTTTCTCCGGGTCATGCGAGGCCATATCACTGAAGTCACGGAAGATGTCCTGAACCGTCTGGTCGTCTCCTGAGGAATTACACAATTACAATCAGTGTTGCTGCTATTTGCAGGTCGTCAATGAGAGTGATCAGTTAGAGGTCAAATAAAGGTTAAAAATGCTTTTGTCTTTGTAGTTGGCATTCAAGTCTACATACCCGCAGCTCCAAAGACCCCTTCTGAGTCTCTCATCTCTTCATTCATCCTGGCCATCCGCAGCCTGAAACGAAGACCAGCACCCACTGATGACAAAGCTCATCAAGACCAGCGTTATCACTGTCCTTATGTCATTAATCAAATCCTCAGGCTTCATTTCGTCACGTTTACTTTTCATTTTGCAATTATCTGAACACCAGCAACCGTTGGGTGCATGAAAAAGATTAAAACAGAAGATCTGATTATCAAAAGGCTGATTATCTAGTCGATTAAATGTTGCAGCTGTACAAAAAAACACCTTGTCCTGAGGCAGGGTTGTGTAGTTCGCTACCATCAATGCAGCGACCCGCTCTGACAGCAGATTTGGCAAAGAAGAGGAGTGCTGTGTTTTGGGGGACATTTAACTGAAACTTCTCTTGTTGAACAACAGGTGCAGTGACTATGCGCAGCCTCCTCGTGTCCTACCGTCAGTGATGTTGCCAGGCTTGGTACCGTACCTCCAGACTCACACCTGAGTTCCCTGATTGTGTCTGATGACCTGCACTGCAGCCAGAGAGGACTAGGGGATGGATACCATGTTCTTTGTCAATAGATAGTTTCAACTGTCATGCAAAAATTTTGAACATCTCCATTTCTCTAGTTTTAATTTTCACACTTCAAGTCCAGTGAGTCAGCTTAAATGGTACGAAGCTAAAACGTAAACTGCCAGAGGGAAAAAGAGTCACCAAAAGTTAAAACTGTGTGTAAACCTCATATGAACCAGGCCTCCCATACTTTTTTGCCGGTTACAGAGCGAACAGAACACATCGCCGCCTGGGCTTTGTGGAGCACACAAGCTGAAAGGCCCGGCACAGAAATGTGGGGGACGTTTAGCTGAACATGACAACATGTGTAATGACTATACCTTTAGTCAGTGAGATGTAGAGATGTTGGCAGGTGGACCTCTGACAGCCATGCTAGCTGTTTCCAGTCTTTATGCTAAGCTAACTCTTTCCTGACTCCACTGGTCCTCCTGAACATCACTCCCAGAAAATGAAACAAGTGCCACACACAGACTGACAAGCCTTTACAAATTTACAGAGGTGACTCACAGCGTGACGATGTCAGCGTGAGCTGTTTCCACGGCGATGGCCAATGGGTCCTGTCCCCTCTCATCCACTGCATACTGATTGGCTCCTCTCTTCAACAACAGACACACCTGCCTACAGCGGCCGATGAAACGCAGCAGGGTTTGTTCCACATTAAGCTTTACTCAAACTGGTCACTGTGTACATGATGTATGTGTGATTACCCAGTGTGTCCAGCGATGGCAGCGGCGTGCAGCGCCCCCTGTCCTCTCAGATCTCGGTGGTTGACATTTGCTCCATTCTGCAGCAGGAACTCACAGGCCAACAGCGACCCCTACAGGCAGAGCCCAGAAATAAAAACAGTGGCAGAAGAACAACCTATGAAACTGTTAACATTTAAAAATCCCATGAGTCTTTGGTACCTTGTTGTTTTAGTGTTTCCAATGTATTTCACAAACTGTCATTTATTTTTGGAGACGTTACTGATTTGGTTTCAAACAGACAAACAGCACAGATGAGCTTCATGTGCGACTTAAAGAAAAGCAGCAGGGGTCCAAAACAGGATCCAGTCTGTCAAAACACTGCTCCACTGTGATCTTTTCCTTTACCATTTAAAATCTGGCTGTGACCCTGAGAGATTTCAGTTTTTGATTTTTAATAAATGTGCAAACTAGCAGTGAAGTCTGATTACATTCTGAAGCTGCTGTACATTTGTATTGTGTAACACCTCCTCACCCCAACAGCAGCTCCAATCAGGGCTGTGCGTCCCTCCTCCTCAGCAACACTCCCGTTGACCTCCGCCCCCTCGGCCAACGCCGCTGCCATGGCAACCACGTCTCCAGCCAACGCAGCCCGATACAGACGCAGGCCGGTGTCATCCTTAGCACACCCTGAAACAAGAAGAGATGCTTCCAATATGTGAATATTCAAACCTTTTTTTCACCATGTCTGAAAACCAAGTGTATGTCCACCTGCAAAATGAAGTCACAGTTGTTTTAAACATCTGACCCAGTGTAATTTTATCGACCTCTGACCCCTCAGCTCACATCTGGTTAAGCATGTCACTGACCAGACCCAGACACTGCTGCAGGCTGGCAGCCGTCAGTGGATCAAACTGGACCTCAAGGTGAAAATATCCAGCAGGGAATACAAAACTCTGGACAATACTTCATCCAGACATACAGGAGGAGCTCAGTGAGATTACAGAAGGTGAGAAGTACTTGATCAGTGCTTTGGCTGTCTGCATAAAGTACAAAAAGTGTAGTGTCACCACTGAGGACACACATCGACCGCTGCAGGAGCACAGGTACGTTTACAAGAACACAACCCTCCAACCACCAAAATGTTGCTGAGCCTGTTCACCAGCTGCACAAGCAAAAGAAAAGTGTGTCAATTTTAATTATGGATACAGGTCAGGTCAGGATTTAATTAAAAGACAACTGTGCAATGGGTCGGGTCCAGTACCGACTCTGTGAGCAAAACTCAGGCATTACTTTATTTTTCTGCACACAGGAGGCTTCAGGCGCAGCAGTGTCCGACTTACGAGCTCCAGCTGAGCTGCTGCTCTGTACGAATCTCTTCTCCACGTACTTTTCTTTGATCCACAGCTCCTTCTCCGCTCTGAGACCAAGAAAAACAACTGCATCAGTTAAACAAAAAGCTTTGCATCACAGTTTGCTCTGCTCTCTGAAATTACTAATCATTTATGTAATCAATTACCTTTGGTTTTGTTTTACTCATCGGCAGAAAAAAAACCCAAAGTATTTGTTTCAGTCATCTACTAGACTTGTAAGCAAAGTGCTGCGACACAGTTAATTATCAACATGATTACTGAGTAATGTTCTGTTCACTCACTCAGCATTTCAGTAACAAGATACAAACACCAGTAAAAATTAAAACAGAAGTGATTTTACCGCGGGCTCTCGGCTTTGGGTTTGACTCGCCCTTCCTCTGAACATCGTGCCTCATAGATCTGGTTCATGACTCGATTTCCCAGAATACACAGCAGCTGGAGAAGAAGATGTGTCAAAATGTTCAATCAGAGAATTCAAAGGTCATTTTAGCTCTTAGTGACCTGCGGGATCTGGTGAGCCACAAAAGTAAAGTCATTTTAAAGAACAAGTTTGGTGATGTCAACAAATCTCACAACAGAGTGTTAGACCTTCTCCCAACACCTCTGACTCCTTGTCTGTGGCTCTCGGCTCCAAGTTCGTTGGTTCCTACTGAACATTTTTAAAATCACCTCAAAAATATATAGTTTTGGCAGGTAAGGTTCACAGAAATCAAAGACCTGCTCATCGGCAGAGGAGGAAATTACTAACAAGGACAACTGTATATTATTCTGACTGGCGTGAACATCGTGGCTGTACCCGTCTGGGTCCTGCCATGTTTGAACAAGGACTTCACACACAGCAGCTGTGTGTGAAGGCTAACAAAGCTACTGCAACACAGCTACATGTAGCCCACTACTTCACAGGTACCATGTTGGAAGGAAGCTATATTTACATAGGTGATTACTTTATTTTCAACAAATCATCCTTCTTTCTTTTCTCTTGAGGGAGAATTATATTTTATAAATGTAAAAATCTAGAATTATGAGGAAATTCAACTGGTGCAAACACAGTACAGTGACTTCAAAAAGTATGATTGTCAATAAATTGGCAGGAATGTCTGAAAACATGGTTTCCCGTTGTCATTATGAGTTAGCGACCATGGCCATTTTATCCATTAAAAACTAAATCTACATCACATTAAAGTGGGTATGAAGTGAAGGGGTCTGAAATCTCTGTGAAGTGGCCGTATATATGTTTTTAAATCTGTTTGTGTGTCTGTGTTACCTTGAGCTGTTCAGCCTCCCATGAGTCCAGAGTGAGAGATCGTACCTTGGACAGGTGAACACCCAGACTCCTGGAAACAGGACATGGTCATATTACACAAACACTGGAGCAGATCTGGTTAAATTCATATTATAAAATCACATCAGACAAATACACATATTGTATGTTGTATGATATTAGAAAATGGAGTGTAGCTCCTTTGTGCAGGTATGGCTCCTGTGATGTGTTTTGGACCAAACAAATGGCTGACTGCAGAAACAGGGCAGAGAGCAGCTCATGTGTGAAGCAGCGACCGATGATGATGTTTCACACTCTCCTCCTGTGGACCGAGGTCTCACACCTGTGACGTCTCAGGTGTGTGCCTACCTGTGTATGCCAGAGCACTCGATGCACATGGTGACTGCCAGGTTGATGGAGGCCCAGCGAGGCGCCTCCTCCCCGCAGTCACAGCACCGCTCGTTCCCAGGGACTCTCAGGGCCACGCCCAGGGCTGGCGGCCTCTGAGTGGGGGGGCCCGGTGAGCTGTCTCCACCACACACAAGAGGCGAGGGCTCTTTGGGCTGCGCACAGGTAAGGATGACAAATAAAGCAGTGATGATGCGTGTTTATCTTGGAGACATCTGGTTTTAAATGATGCACAACTCTCATCCTATCAAACGTCTTTCCTCATAAAAGGTTGTCAGAGCAAAAACACTGTGTACATCCACCAGTCTTCTTCTCTCCTGCCTTTGGTGGCACATCGCTGCACTTCTTCATCAGTCTGCATCATAAACCTACTGTCAGGGTGTTTCATGCACCCGGGCGGTGTGCAGACTACTATGTGGTTAAGGATTGAATAAACATACTGACCTGTGCTGGCTCTAGTCTCACGTTTAAGGACAGGTATAAGAGTGGAAACGTCTCATTTAACTAAACAACCACATTTCCTAAAGTGGACTTTCTTGACAACATTTTTAATACTGATGGGATATAAAAACTGACCGCCAAAATAAGAGCGGCGCTCTAATAAGTGAGAGTTACAGCTGAAGGTGAACGTGCCTGTGTGAGCGGCGTGCCGGCTCTCTCTCTGTAGGCGAGGTCGATGCTGCCCTGCAGAGTGCTGAGCCAGGCCTGCTTCAGCTGCTCCGAGTCGGCCTGCAGAGCACAACACCTGGCACAGGAACGACACAACAGATCGGTCAGAGCTTTTTAAAGGTTTGCATTTTCACCAACACACACAAAGGCACGACTCAAGTTAACGAGACGTTACAGAAGTAACCCGGAGCTGAACCTGAACGTGATAGGTCAGTTTTAAGACCTGTCAAAGTCTTATGCAAGACTTTTTAGGACATTCAGATGACTGGGTGTTAAGCTTTAAAGCTGGTGTATCTTACTTTTGGACGGAGAGCAGCTCGAAGCAGAAGCGTCGATCGATGTGCTCCGGAGATTTGACAGCACACAGTCTGAGGTCGTCAAAGAGAACCACAGCATCCTCCTGTGGAACGACAGCACTTTACAACCATCATCTGTTCTTTCACACACTGGTTTGTCACCAACAAAATAACAACACCCTGCTGCTGAAATCCAGATGAGAGAAGGGAGGAGCCGATCAACATGCTGACACCCTGTCTTTACATGTGTATGATCTAGATTATCATGTATACGTGTAGATTGCATAAGATGTTCGAAAGTCTGTATTTTTTCCCTTTTGCCACACTTTCTAATATTTGGTTTTCAAAAGTCCGATGTAATAAACATTATCATCTGTTATTAAATCATCATTTCTTGTAGCTGCAGTCCTACTGGAAGATTCCAGTGTACAAAGAACATTTTGGGAAAAGCTTCCTCTGTGTGATTTTCATCAGCAGGCGATAACGCCCAGTCTTACCTTGTGTGACTTCCTGTACATAAGTTGATTATCTCTGATGGAAAACCAGCATCTGAAACCAGTTTGAATATTAAAATACTGTGGAATGACAAATATTACATCATATTGAGATTTATAGCTGTTATCATGAACAAGACAACACACATCCCTAACACACAAACACAGATGAATTCTGTGCAGTTTTACAGGAGCAGTCCTTCAGTGAAAATCAGTAGAATCGAGTCTGTACCTCTTCCAGGTTCTGGATTTCCTCCTGGAGCGTTTGAACAGGTAACCCTGGATGATGACGTCGCTCCCAGGACACGGGCTGACCATCGGCTCCCCTGAAGCATCCTGGACACACAGCGTGTTGCACTGAGCTCAGTGTTGTTCGTCTTATTACAGTAAAGTTCAGCTAAAACTGTGCCTAAATGTACAATCGGTGCTCAAAATAAGGGGTGTGCTTGTTACGTCACACAGCCTGCTACAGGACTCCTACATCTGAGAGAAGTTACTGTATGTGTTTACATGACCTTACTGGGACCGTTAATGATGAATTTTAATAAGATAAAATCTGGTTTATTTTGCAGTTATTTATCCCACAGCAGCTCTGCAGACACAAAGAAACCATCTGATTCTTATTCTTATGATTCTTTCTGTGTATCTGCTGAAGTTTCATGTGTGACAGCTGCTCTACTAATAAACTTACTCTCTGCTGGACCAGCAGGTGTTTGTTCTCCAGATCTTTTCTCTTAGCAGCACAATCTGCTGACAACTGGGACAACTGAGGAGCAGACAATTGGCAGAGACCATTAAATGATTCATTTATCATCAGTTTGATAGTCAAGATTCAGGCAAAGAAAGAGGTCAGAGGTCAGGACCTGTGCTGCCATGGTCTTCATGGTGGGCTCCAGGTCTCTGAGCAGGTCGAAGCCTTGGTGGAAGAAGGTGAACTGAGCATGGACAAAGGAGAACACCTGACAATAGACAGACAAACAGATGAGTCCTGTCAGTGTCCCTCACAGCACTGGTGGACCTGACATCCCCTCGTGTCCTGTCAGCATTGTGATGTTTTAGGAATGGATCAGAAACCGGCTCTTATTCAACACTAATTGAGCTATATAAAAGTGGATTTTGCTACAATATGCTGTTCATACAACTGAGCTGCCAATGTTTAGTTCAACTGTTTATCCATGAATTTAAACTATTTCAACCATTAACGTATCCGTTACTTTGAGCTAACTGCTTTGTAACTTTGGACGGAGCCAGGTTTATCCACATCCCTATGCTAAGCTAGGCTAACAGCAGACTGATATGATATGATCAGAGACTGATATACAATGTGAACATACCATAGAAAAATAAAACAAATAAGCACATTTCCTAAACTGTTGAACCATTCCTTTAAAACACAAACATAACTATGCACTGATCCAGTTTGGACAGCTGAACTCACTGAGTTTAGGATGTCGAGTTTCTGCTGAGTCTTGAAGGTGTTCAGCTAGAAAAAAAAAATTCAAACATAATATTTAAACATGTAAATAAACTGCTGAGCACATCTGCCAGCTGTGCCTCAGGTGTGCGTACCTGCAGACAGTAGTCCAGTGCAAAGTGCTGGTAGCATTTGCGTGTGGCGAGCAACAGGTGACTCGCCCGCTCAGCATCGGTGGCTTTGTGCCGAGATACCTGAGCATTTTTTACCGCCGCCGTCTCCAGGTCATCCCCAATCCGAACAAACTCCCTCCTGGTCTCAGCCAGCTGGGGCAGGAACCTCAGACACACAAACAAGCTTATAGTTAAGGCTGGATCAGGTCTCGGTTATGCTGCTATAGGCCTAGACTGCTGGGGGGGTCATGATATCCTGAGCTTCTCTCCTCCCCACAACAGTGTCAACAGCATGTAGGCTTCTGTATGGGGGGAAATGCTTTTTTGGGCCATGGGGGATTTTCTGTTGTAATATTACTACAAGCAATCACTGGGTAAAGTTGTCAGCAAGGCTGAGTGGTGCTGCAGCATCACATAGCTGATGGGGACGACACTCCCACGTCCACATAGAGACAGCACCAACCTCTGCGAGGCCGTGTGTGTGTATGTACACGTCTGAATACGTCTGTGTGGACCAGTTTTAGTTTGATCCCCATTACAGGGTCCAGACTTGGTTTGATTGTGACTGCACAACAATGCACTGAGCTCCACAATGAAACAAAGAGTCAAATTAAACAGAATTCAACTCGGATCAACTCCATCTGGAGTGCACAGTATTTATGCACAAAACGAGGGAGGTGCAATACTTTTGTTTGATGGTTAATATTTTTAAGCTTTTTGACTTACTGTGTACAGAGGTTGGTGAGCTGCTGCATGATGGCTCTCTGCGTCTGATCAAAAAGCATCTGAGGACAAAACACACATGGATGAACTGCTACCGTGGTTCTCAGTGCTGCTGAGAGGAAATCTGATTATTGTGGCAGCAGAAACTATTAGTCACTGATGAGAAAATACAATAAAATCACATCACCTGCACAAATTAAGAAGCTGGACGAACACTAGAAATACAAATGTTAAAAGTACCACTAAAGCTAACCGTAGGCTTGTTAGTTCTGCTTTATGTTTTGTCTCATGATGGACAAACTATTATGATGTGATTCACTTAAAAAGTTTAAAAAGTGGACCAGAGAGCAGACACAAATGTTTATACACTTTGCTAGAAGCTATAATCGTGTGTTGGTTGTTTTTGAAAAGAAGACACCAGGTATACTTTTTATTCCCAATTATCATCAGTTTCCTGTTTTGCTCTGAGCTGCAGTGATGGAAGAGCGTAAGAGCAACAGAGCCGATCATGAATAAAACACATTTCTCACAGTTAAACTGCAGCTGTTGCAGTCTGCTGGTCAGGCAAAACCAGACATCAGAAGGTGTCACCTCCGACTCTGGGAATCACTATTTTTCATTTTAATCAACAGTCGTTGCATTAACTCACACCACTTTACAACACGTGCAGGGTTAGAAAGTAGTGAGAGACCAACTGATGGGCCAATATCTGGCATTTTTAGATAGTCAGCACTGGCCCATGTCTGCACTCACAAGGCCGACCAACAAAGATGTCTGCAGACATATCTGCAGGCAGCCTTGTCACTCGTAGTGTTGTCACGATACCAACATTTTGGTACCGGTACCAGTACCAAAATGTATTTCGATACTTTCGATACTTTTGGATAGTTTTTCAGACAAAAAGAGAACGCAAAAAATGTCATTACTGACTTTATTTTAATAGAAAATCTTAGAATAACATCAAAATAAAATTCAAAATACTAGGCTTTTCTTATTGCACTCAAAAAAAATTTTTTTAGAACAGTCAGTGTGAGTAAATAAAAAGTATGAAGTTAGAAGTTCTAACTTAGAAAAAAATATTTTCATTACATATAGCCTGTCTTAAGTAGGACCAATGTTTTTAAATGGTATGTTACCAGTCTTTATAACATATTAAATATTGCTAAATATGTATGTAAAACACTGAACGACTGTGCTGTAACCACATTTAACGTTTTGAAAAAACACATTTTTTATTAAAATTTAGAAAAAAAATTTCTATGTTTGATAAGAACTCTTTATCATGTGTTGCACACTTAAAACTATTGAACTATTGCATTTGAAAAGGGCACATGTCATGAGTAAATTACCTGTCGTTCCCTGAACTCAGTGTGCAGGTCTGGGTGTTTCCGCCCTTAGCCATGCATGTTTTAAAACATCGTTTACACAATGGCGCATCAACGTTAAATGCCTCTCCTTGCTCATTTGTTTTTATGCCGAAGTACTGCCATATAGCACTTCGCGCCCCTCGTTTGTCCACAAATTGCGGGGTGGTGACTGAGCCATTCTCCTCTCCGTGCTCCTCTC